TGTGACCGCCTGGGAGAGGCGGGTTGCTGGTTCACCTGGGGTAGCTCTCTCGGCTGGGGATGAGTGAGCTTGGCACTTCCGGGACCTGGGTGGGTTGAAGGGTCGTGGAGAAGAACTTGTTGCGCCACCCAAAGGGGAGGGGCCTGGGAGTTTAGAGTAGGCTGGGAGGCCAGGTTTAGGTGCAGGGAGGAGAGGGCCCAGACCTCGGTGGCGTGGACGCAGGAGTGAGATGTTAAAAATAGGTTTAAGGCAGGGCTGGAAGTTGATTCTGGGTTGAAATCCTGGGCCTGGGGCAAGCGATAGGAGCACTGATACAAACTTTGGTATTTGGTACTTGGGTTCAATGAATCAAAGTTCTAGAGGGTTGACCAAAAGTACTGAAGGAACGGCAGCCCAGGCTTGGCCTCTCTGAGATGCGAGCCAGTGATTGCTTAACTATTCTGTCAGCTCTACTTTCTTCCTTGCAAGAGTTTTGAGTCCACTTTCTCTCAAGTGTTTGTAAGGGAAGAAGATCGAGAGGCTTTTTTGTCAATTTAGCTTCACTTCAGCAGGAAAGGAGCTCCCACTCTGAGTGAGAAGAAACTCAGCGTCCGGCCGACGTTGCCATCCCTCACCTGCAGGTTGCTGCCATGAGGTTGAATCAGAACACCATGTTGCTGGGGAAGAAGGTGGTCCTGGTGCCCTACACCTCAGAGCACGTACCTAGGTAACTGCTCACCTGACCTGGGGTGCACTGGTAGTGCATGGGAGGTTGACTGACTCAGCTCTCCGTGGCACAGCCAAGAGCCTTCTTTAGCCCCAATCTCAGGGCTGTTTCCTCTGAGAACAAACACTTTCCCCTTCTCAACTTCCTTTTCACTTTTCAGTAAGGAATTATTTTGTCAACTAAATGCATGTAAGAAAGAAAAAGAGGGCCAGGGGTATAGCTCAGTGATTCCACCGCCTGCCTCACAAGCACAAGGACTCGAGTTCGACCCCTGGTACCAAAAATAAATAAAGAAAGAAAGAAAAAGAAAAAGAAATGCTATTCTTGCCCATTTGCTATGTTGTCCAGGCTTGTCTTTAACTCACTATGGAGCCCAGGCTGGCCTTGAACTTGCAGCAGTCCTTTTGCCTCTGCCTCCCAAGTGCTGGGATTACAGGCCCCACCACAGTCCTGATGGATTGTTTTGATGTTGTCTGCTTGAAAGGCTAGAACTGTGTCACAGGATAAACTTTTGTAGGGGCAGTTGGCCGATGTCTTGTAACTGTGAAAATGGTAATTACGGAATCCTCTACTTATAGTTTTCCTTTGGAAGTCCCTGGTATCCTGCCTTTGTAGGGATTTGTCAGGGCATCATTGCTGAGGTTGACTTGCCGTATATTTCCCCTCAGGAATTTGAGGAATGTTTTGTTTCAGGCTGCTCGGAATGGAACCCTGAGCCAGGTTGGGAAACTGAGCGGATAAGACATCCCCTTCCTGCTGTTCTTTTGTAGGTCTGGCCTGCTTGGGGCCTTTTTCTGTGACCCTGTAGCAGTCTCCTTCCTATCACCCCGCCTTTTTGGTACTGCAGATTGAACCCCAAGGCCTTTGCATTTAGCTACATATCCAGCCTTTAAAATTATTATTATTATTATTCTTTTATTTTGTGGCATGGTCTCACCACGTCACTAGGTTGCCCAGGCTATATGTGTATGTGTATTCTCCTGCCTCAGTGTACCAAGTAGCTGGGATTTCAGGCACTTTTTCATCTCATAAAGCATGAATCCCATGCTTCTGAATCAGTCCTGCATGTCTAAGGCCATCTGTTTGTTCCCACAGGTACCACGAGTGGATGAAATCAGAGGAGCTGCAGCGTTTGACAGCCTCAGAGCCGCTGACTCTGGAGCAGGAGTATGCAATGCAGTGCAGCTGGCAGGAGGATGCTGACAGTGAGGAGCCAAGGCCCTGAACCTGCTCATGGGAGGGCTGAGTCCAGAGGGAGTCTCTAGGTTCTCTCACCCTTTTCCATCCCTACTCTGGCCCTACTGGGGTCACAAAAGCTTTATGAAAAATTTGGAAGCTGGATGCAGTGGCACACACCTGTGTAATGCCAGCTCCTTGGCAGGCCGAGGCAGGAGGATCACAAGGTTGGGGCCAGCTGGGAACTAGATGATGTAGTTTATTGGGAGGCCTTGAGTCCAATCCCCAGTACGGCGGGGGGGTCTGGAAGGTGTAGAAACCCTGTCTTCATGCCTGGTGCCTGTGGCTGATCCTTCTGTCCTTTTCTCCACTCACTGTACCAGGCTTATAAGAATTTACAGAAAGTAAAGCATTTTGTGCTCTAGCTGTAAATTTAGGCCCTGCCTCTTGTCCCTTGCCACAGCCTAATGTGGTTACCATCCTTCTTTGGGTCTTCTGCTCTTTTAGGTTACAGTTACTATTTGAAGAAGGCCATTTTTTCCTTAGATTTAAGGCAGCTGTGGAACTTTGTAATACGCTGCATGAAACTCTAGGCCCCTTTTCTCTAGCCAGGCAGAGACAATGGTATTCTGCAATTCTCTGGCTTGGGCACAAACACCCTCTATACCTCTCTTCTTTGGGCTGGTAAATGTGTATATATCTATAAAAGAAATGTGTATATATATACTTTTGGTACTGGGGATAGAACTCAGGACCTTGTGCTTGTGAGACAGGCGTGGTACCACTGAGCTACATCCCCGGCCCAGGGTTTGGTAACTACAAATGGTAACCATTGCCTCTTCCCTTAGAGTGCACTTTCATTGTGCTGGATGCAGAGAGGTGGCAGAGCTGGCCAGGCCCCACTGAAGAGAGCTGCATGGTGGGTGATGTGAACCTCTTTCTCACGGATCTGGAAGACCCCACCTTGGGGGAGATTGAGGTCATGATAGCAGGTTTGTTCCACGTGGTCCAGCGTCCTTTCCCTCCTGGCCCTCAGTCCTGCCGAATTCAGGAAGCTTGGTGGGAGGCTGGCACCTGGCTGGGGCAGACTACCCAGCCACGCTCCCTTTATCACTTTCTTCCTTATGCTTTAGTGTGTGCTTTTAAATTCAGTCAGCCCCATCCTGAGGTAGACAGGGGACCCTTGAAAAACAATTTCCAAAGTGTTCTCCTACCAGAGGAACCCCTCCTCTTTTTCTTTTTTTTTTCTTTGAGACAGGGTCTCACTATGTAGTCCAGGCGGGCCTTGAACTCTCTATGTAGTTCTGGCTGGCCTCAGAATCACAGCCAGCCTCCTGCCTCAGCCTTCCTAGAGCTGAGATTATAGGCGTGTTCCCTCTCTTGTTTCTGAAAACCTGGTTCCTCAGCTTTCCCCAGGGGCCCTGACTGTTCCCTCAAAGTAGTATCCTAAGGTGAGGGTGTCAGCTTTGGAGTCAGATTGCAGGATTGCAAGTGGGGACCCTTGGGTGTGTTCTTTCACTTTTGACTGCCTCCTTTCCTGGTATGCAGAATGCAACAGTAGCACCAACTTCATGTCACACACTGGAGCCTGGTGCTGGTGTCAGCCAGCCAGTGTTGTCAGCCACTGTCTTTGTCCTAGAGCCCAGCTGCAGGGGCCGGGGCTTCGGCACTGAGGCTGCTCTCCTGATGATGTCCTATGGTAAGACAGTCTGAGTGGACCGTGTGGGGAGAAGTGGCTGGCTCCCTGAGGGAGGGGGACAGGTACCTCCCCTACAAATAGGAAGTATGGAGGTTTTAGTGGGAGCTTCATCCTGCTGGTTGCCCCTGTCCCTGTTATATCTGGAGGAGTGAGCAAGCTAGGTCTGACCAAGTTTGAGGCAAAAATTGGGCAAGGAAATGAACCCAGCATACGGATGTTCCAGAAGCTTCACTTTGAGCAGGTGAGGAGGTTGATGGGCAGGCCTAGGCGTGGGTGGTGGGGCTGGTGGTGAAACTCTTGAGTGACTTAGTGAGCCCTGCCTGCTGGCTCGTGCAGGTGGCTGTGAGCAGCGTCTTCCAGGAGGTGACACTTAGACTGACAGTGAATGAGCCTGAGCGGCAGTGGCTTCTGGATCAGACCAGCCACATGGAGGAAAAGGCTTACAGAGATGGGCCAACAGAGCACCGATGACAGCCAGGCCTTGGCCCCTACTCTTCAGGAGTTGGGGCGTTGGGGCTGCCAGCTCCAAGGACCAGGGCTCTTCACAGGAGATAATGTATGGTGCCTTTGGTCCCAGCTCCAAACTGGGAGTCACCTTCAGACTTGGGTTTGCCTTGGCCTTTCCCTGGCTGGCACTGGCCAAGCAGACTCTTCTCCCCTCTCTGCTAAACTGACTCAGATGTCCTTGAAGTGGATGGCAAGAATCTACTGGGAAGGGTACGGTGGAAATGGGGATGGACAGGCCTTTGCTCTCCAAGGCACCACTCAGAGCCACCACCCTGGCTGGGAGTAAAGCCCTGGGCTGGTCAGTTCGTGTTTTCATTTGGCCTGCATGAGGTACCAGGAGCTGTCTCAGTACCCATCCTGGGAGGGGCTAGCTCAGTTCCTGTCAGTGGCAGGCCAGTGTGACCTTGGAGGCTTGACCCTGGGAGGTAGGACAGGCAGCCCCTCCCCCAGTGCTCTTGCTCCTGCTTCCTTTTTTAGAGCCAGACAGCCCTGAATGTAGAGGGAGTTTCTTCTACACTCTTGTGGCTGAAGAATACCCTGTTAATGAGCCTCTCACTCAGCTGCTGGCTGCCAGAGGAAGTGAAAGCCACTCAAGCACGATCCTGGAGTACCAGCCTCCTGTCCCTGCAGCTCTCCCACTCAGCTCCACAGCTGCTGCTGCGGCAGCTGCACCTGACCTGGCCACGAGGGGGCAGTGGAGGCACAGGTTTGGGATGGCTGGGCTGCGATTTAGGAGTTGCACCAGGTCCCCTGGGGAAACCCTTTACTCCTGCCCCTTGTCCCTCATGATCAGGAGTGGCCATCAAGGAAGGCTAGACATATTTCCCAAACAGCCATAGAAAGGAGCTTGTGGGGCATCTTTGAGAAGGGACCCAATGCCAGATAATGGTGACGGTCCCCTGGCGCCTATCACCTCCCCCCAGGTTGCAGTTGACATAGAGTCTAAAGTGAAAGGTTCCCTTTGCGCCTTGCTCTAAGCCCTTAGGGATTGGAATTTCCTCTGTGACACCTCACCTGTCCGCCTCCAGCCTAATCAGTCAAAGTTCCTCAGGCTTCTCCACCCAGCAGTTGAGGTAGGGAGGGGCCCTTCCAAGTCCCATGGGGCAGTCCCTAGGCCTGCTCTATTGTGGTGGGGATCTGCTAGGGTCAAAGGGTCGGCTGGGGGGGGTAAGGATGAAGGGAGGCCATGTCCTGCTGAGCAGGGCACAGAACAAGGAGTGCTGTGATAAGAGTTCTGGATGGTTCTGTTTAAGGCTGGTGGAATCCAAACCCTAAAGAACCAGACGGCCAGATAGACTGGCCCTTCTTTCAACCCTGAGGGCTCCCCCAAGTCCCCTTCCTGTTCTGTCTCTTCCCTATCTAGTTCCCCTCAGTCCAGGACCCTGGTTCTAAGTGAGCTCCCTGTGGGTTGAGTGGTGATGAAGTAGCCCAGGGCCGGCTTCCCTTCTGAGCACTGCCTGGGACCTTTTGGCCCTCCAGCCTGGGTCACGCTGGTGGACTTCTAGGATGTGGCCTCAAGTGCCATAGGTGTAAGGGACCAGGGCTTGACCTGCATTTTGCCTTTGGAAATTCCCCTCCATCCCACTTTGCTACACAGCGTGTTCTGGGGCTCAGTAGGCCAATTTGTTTCCCCCCAATGCTGGACAACTGCCCTCCAGTCAGGCTACTGGGCAGATAAGATAGGAGTATCTGGCGCCCGCTCAGCCTGCTCCTGGGAATCCTGTAGCCCATGGGCTGCTCCCAGAGTAAATCCAAGTGTGCCAGCACCAAGCCCAGCTTCATCCTAGGCTTCACACTTACAGTACTCTTGGAGTGAGAACTTCAGAGCCCCCTGAGCACAAGGGCCTCAACTGTTACCTCCCATGTTGGCCATGCCCCCCCCATACACTGATACTGTGACACCAGACTAAGCATGTGAGGCTGAGTGGCTCTTACTCCCTACAGGGTTCCTGAGCAGCTAAAGAATCCAGGCCTGCTGGTTAGTCACCTGGGCTTGGGGCTGCAGGGAGCCTTCTGATGGTCCATCCTCCAGTCACATCCTAACCTCAGCCAAAGGCCACTTGGCCACACTTGCCACTTCCACTTTCCATCTGGATGGTGTGAGTCTGAATGAAGACCAGAGCTTCAAAGGAAGACACAGAGGCTGACGAAGTAGAGGAAGAAGCTTGATTTGGGAAGCAGTTTCTTTACAGTGGTGGTGCCTGGCTCAGGGATGGGCAGGGGGGCAGCCAGAGTCTCCCCGTGCTGCCCAGGTCTCCAAGGGTGGGACTGGAAACACCCTAAGGCTGAGGCTGCTGCTATGCCTCAGATGTTAATGACCAGGAAAATCAAGGAAACAAAAGTCCTTCTGAACTCTGTGAGACTGTACTCCTAAAAAAAGAAAAGAAAAATAAACAAAAGATGCCCAAGCCACAACTCTCAGGATGAAAGCCGTGGCTGCTGAAGTCTGTTTCCTGATCAGTTTTGGCCCAGTGATCACACGTGAGGGTCTGACTCCAGGATCCTTGCTGGCTGTGGGTCTCAGGATGTCCCGGGCTGGGCAGCAAGGGTTCACCTGGTAGGGGGAAGCCCTCAGGGAGGAGGGAAAGTTTGCTTTTTGATTGGGAAAGGACAGAGAAGCACCTTAAGGGAAGAACAAAATGTCTAGGAAATCAGATTCATCAAGAAGGGGGATGCTGGTGCTGATTGGAATGTCGATTGGGGGGGGCTATGACGGGTAGGCTGCTGGCTAGGCCCTTCCAGCCTTGGACAGCGGCTGGATGGACACTCAGAGGTTGCTAAAGAGTTCATTTTTCTTGCTCCAGTCCATCTGTGGGGCCCGCTTGCTGCCACGCTTCTGGTGGGCCCTCTCTTTGGCCACGGCCAGGGAGATGTTGAAGTCCAGGATGGGGTCAGAGGAGGAGGTAGACGAGGGCTCTGTGGAGTCCTGTTTCTTGGGGCTGTCTTGGGAACTGAACTGTAAAGAGGAAGGGGAGGCAGACAGTTGGGAGTCAGTGCCTGGGAGGCTCCCTGATTCTCAGCCTGGCTAAAGTGGCTCCCTTGAGGCTGTGCCCAGGGAAGCCAGGTCACAAGAACAGTATGCGCCTCAGCGTGTGACTTCAAAGGCAGGCTGGTGTGCCAGGAACCAGAGTGGCCTGGGAATCGGCTTCCCGTAACCCAGTCCCAACCCCTGCCAGGAGGCCTACCTCCTCGCTGGTATCACTTGAGGCGGATCTGGCCAGGTCTGGCCTGGGGCTCTCCGAGGCTGCCTCACCCAGGGCTTCACCGCTGTTCTCCTGGCACAGAGAAAAGGGGTGTGGGCTGGCAGGGAAGCGGATGGGACGCTCCCCATCAGGAAAGCTGGAGGCCCTAGTCTGAGAAGTGCCTCTCAAACCTTGGTCCCCCACCCAGATTCCGGCTTCACATTTCTACATTCCTTAAAGGATCAGAGGGCAGCCTGGTTCCATCCATTACCTAGGTGGGAGGACTACAGACAGGGATTCGCTCAATCGCTCTTTTCCCTGTCTTCCCTGATGTGGCTTTTGTGGAATGGACTTGTCTTTTGGCCAGAGATGGAAGGCAGGGTGGTGAGGGTGTGTGCTGCTTGGCGCCTGGGGATACCAGGGCCCTCTCTGATAGTCAGAGGGGACCCATGTGCTCCCTGAACCTCCTGCAGCCCTATCCAACCTTTAAATCCAAAGGGGCCAAGCACAGCCTTGAAGGAGTAAGATGGATGAAATGCTTCAGGCCCATAGTTGGGGCGACAGAAGGTTCATATTGGGCATAGGGACCCTCCCCCTGCTGAGGCCCCTGGTACGAACCTGTGGGCAAAGACGACCCTGCAGATTCCTGCTCCAGGTGGGCCGGTTCAGGAGTGGAGGCTTTCGCTGGGGCGTCAGCTTGGCGCTCAGCCCCTTCCTGGGTCCCTCCATGGATCTGGCTGGCACCCGGCCTGCCATCTCTTCCCTAGCCTCACCCCCTTCCCTGCTGCCAGGGGAGGAGGGACTTTGTTCTAACCCAGACTGGAAGTAGCAGGGCTGGCAGTGCACAGCCAGACACTAGAGCTCTGTTCTTGGGGGGAAGAATGGCCTCTTCTGTACAGTGGGGAGTTGGAGGTGGGGGCCTGTCGCCCAGGATGGCGGGCTACAGAAGGCCCTGGCCAGGCCTCTCCAGTGTGACAGCCTTGGCTCTCAGCAGGGGCCAGAGGTGCCTTGTTCTATATCCTGGAGCTCAGAAAGGAGCTAGAACCTGGCCCCGAAGTTTCAGCCTGAGGCCAGGGTGTCCCTCTAATTGCACCACCATCCATCAGCTCCCTCCCCCTATGGGATTGGGGGCCAGAGTCGCCCTTACCTTCTGTATCTCCCCATTGGTCAAGGGCTCAGGCAGGGGACCTAGGAAGGGGGAGAAGCACAGGTGAGCCAAGAGCTTTGGGAAAGTATAGTGCCAGATGCAGCCTACAGAGGAGCAGGAGTGAGCCAGAGATGCTGCTTTTGGTGAGTTCATCAGCTCTCGCACCCCAGAGGTCAGAGGTTAAAACTTTTTTTGACTGCAACCCACTGTAAGGACCCCTGACATTTTCACAACCCATCATACACAAAAGACTGTGTGTATGACAAAATTTCACAAAACAACACTTATCCTTACTGAAGTGCAATGCTCTTTGATATTTTCTATTACATTTTACTTTTAAAAATGTGCTGGTTTCTATCTAGTAAAGTGATCTCGGGAGGTACTGGGTAACCAGCGACTTGAAAGAAACAGTCCTAGGCAGAGTGAGGTTCTAGGCTGGCTCCCTAACTTGAAACAGATTCCTCGGGCAGGCCTGGGCCTTAACATTTTTTCATGTGCATCCCAGGTGACAGTGGTATTACCGGTGAATTAGGGCCACACCCAAGATTATGGTTGGCAGCTGTGTCCGCTGAGAGAAAACAAACCCAACCCCGATGTGCTATCTGAGAATGAGGGGACAGGAAGGCACAAGGGCAGTGTCTTGGGTGTCCTCCCCAACAACCTGGTGGTAGGAGGGTCCAAGGAAGAGAGGCCGGGCCTGGGGGCATCCACCCATGGCTACCACAGCGCTGTTCCACTTCCAGGGACTAAACCTGGCGGGAGGTGGTGAGTTCTTCTGAACCCTTAGCTTATATGACTCGTGTATCTTTTCTCTTACTCATCCCTGGTCCAGCACACCTGATTCACCTTTTCCTCCCTTTGGACATCTCCAGCCTTCCCATGGCTATGGGGCAGGGGACCTGGAGGACATTGGGACACTCACTTTCCCTCTCCCTCTGGGCCTCTCTCTCTTGCCAGGTCCTCTGGCTGGAGGCTGTATGCTGCCAACCAGAGAGGCGGACAATGGGGAGGACTTCCGGGGTGGAGGGGACAGGAAGGGTGCTGGAAGAGGTGGGGGACAGTTCGGAGGAGCTAAGCGGAGTCCAAGTTTCAGCTGTGTTCCTCGCCCCAGGTCCCGAACAACAAGGCTGGGGCTCCTCTGGGCCTCAGGGTCCTCACTGAGGAAGGGGATTAGCTGAGTTATCGGGTTTCTATGAACCTGGAGAAGAGGTAAGAGGGGACCCCACGCCCCTGCCCAGAGACTAAGGACTTTCAGGAGCGCCCCCGACCCCCTCATGACCCTGGATCAGGTGAGATGGAGACAGGGTGCCCCACTGAGTTCCTCCAGTTAGGGATGAGTCATGTGGACCCCCTCCCACAAATACAGCCCTGAGCTTCAGGGAGGCCACACCCATTGCAAAGTCCAAAGACATTCCACCCTCGGGATGGCCCAGGGGCACCCCACGCCCTGAGCCATCTTCACAGAGAGAAAGTCCAGCCAAGGGAACAGAGGCTGTTTAACCCCTCCCCGTTCTGGTATAGCAGGCCTGGGGCCCCCTTTTGGCTCAGCTTGGGCAGGGGGAGGTGCCAGGCTTGGCAGGGGGAGAGTGGGGGAGGGCAGGGGCCCAGAGACTGAAGGGGACCCAGCGCTCTCTGGAGCTAAGTTTCCAAGACAACCTGACAGAAGGAAGGGGGAGGTTCCAGCCCCTGTCACTGGACTCTGATCTGCCTAGCAAAAGCTGGAGGCTGACCCAGAATTAACCCTTACGTGGCAGAGGCATAGACCTTGTCCTGAGAATATAAAGGGAGCTTGGACTGTCCTTTGGTGCTGCAGCTTAGGCTGGGGATCCTGAAGCTCTGCCCCATCCCTCCTGCCAGCTGAAACCACCCCCATCCCTGCTTCCTCTCCCCACTCAGCCAGCCCAGGAGGATGGGGAGGAGGAGGAGCCAGGACATAGTGAAGTCTGCAGCTCTGGCTGTGTCCCTGACTTGGAGGCAGCCAGCTGTACCAGTCACTCACCATCCAGGTGCTCCTGAGATGGGATCACTTTGCACTTCTTGAAGAACTCATCGGTGTCCCTGTCTACCACCAGCAGCTTGGCCTCATCCCCTCCAGCTTTGATGGCAGACACCACGTCCCCGTGCTGCTTGCCCTCCATGCAGACCCCGTTCACCTGTGTGGCGGGTGGGGCACAGGTCTCAGTTGTGTAGAGGGCAGGAGCAAGGATTAGGGGCCTCTCTTGCCTGCATAGCTCTGAACTAGGACAGGGGTCCTCCCACTTGACAGCGGGGAGGCAGGACATGTGGGAAGGGCCAAAGAAAATATCCAGAGAAAGACTAAACAAACACAGCTGTGAGGGACAGCGGCTGACAGAAAGGTTTGGGAAGCCAGGGCTGGGTGCCCCTCTGACATCCCTGCTTTTCTCCTGGGTTCAATGAGACATCTCGAGAGCTGATCTCTAGTGCTAAAATTCTCAAGACTCCGACTGTGGGAGCAGCCCAAGCATTGAGTTCACGCTTCCTCTCTCCAGAGCACAGCCCAAGAACAGAGCGTATCTCAAGCCTAACTCAGGAGGGGGACCTGCTCCCCAGCCCTGGGCCTGGCTCACGTAGTGCTCTGGGGTGGCCTCTACTGGGACGAATGGGTGAACTGTGGCTGCAGAGTGCTTGCTCACAGTAGTAGAAGGTCTCAGATGAGAAGAGTTAGCCTGCCTGTCCCTCTGCTTACTACCCACCCTTCTTCCTCCTCCTCACCGATGTACCCAATCACTCCCTCAGCATCTCTGGTTGTTATTCCCCCTGGGCTAACCAAGCAGTAGGCGGTGTGATGGCTGCCCGAGGAGCCAAAGGCCGGGAAGGAAGAGAGTGGAAGAGTCTGGAGAAGAGGGACAGGGCATCACCTCCACAATGCGGTCCTGGGCCCGGAGCCCAGAGGCCTCCGCTGGGGAGCCTGGGTCCACTGCTCGGATGAACTGGCCTGGCTTGGACTTGTCACTGTGCAGGTTGAAGCCATAGCCGTTGGCGCCCTTCTTCATCAAACAAATCCGAGGCCGAAGCTCACGCTGCGGGGACAAAGGAGAGGCCATTCCACAATGTCCCAAGTCTGCCCCTGCCTCCTCCAGCAAGGAAAGTTTGGAATAATTCAGCAATGCTTTGATCCCACATGGAATTCTGGCTGGGGGCACAGATGACCTGGGTGCTCAGGTCAGTTTCCTCTGCTGGCAAATGAGGGGTGGGACTGGAATAAGTCTCTTCCCCCATGACATTCTAAGGCAGATCACAAGTCAGTTTAGTCTTATTCTGCCTCACCGATGACACATTGTGGCCCTGGGATAGGAGCGTTGGCACGACATCCATCAACCTGGCTGGGTACCTGAGGACTACGCAGCAGGACCCCAGCCCTTTTGTGCCTGTTCTCCACCTGGGGAGGAAGGGCAGGTGTTTACTGAAAGCCAACTAGCATATTTATAGTAAAGCCTTTCCTCACCCATGCAGGCTCCTTTCTTGTCTTCACCAAGCCAAACGGTCCAGTTCACAGAGAGCTGGAAGGAGCCAGTTAACTAGGAGGTATGGGCTGCACTGTGGGAGTCCTGGACCAGAGTGGACCATCCTCAGGGGCTCTAGGCCCAGCTGAGGGTAACGACGGTGGCAGAACCCAGACACCCTGTCACCAATTCCAAGGAGCCAGAACAGAGAGGCAGCTATGAAAAGCAGGACTGGGCCCAAGGAAGTTAAGTGTAGTTGAGTCCTGGATAAGAGTGACCTATTAATAAGGCCAACGACAGATTTCTCACATTCAGCTCAATTAAGGCAGCTCAGTTTCACAGCCCCAGGATTCAAGCATGACGGATGGACTGGTGTGTGGATGGAAGCCGGAGCTGAGGTCCCTTCCCCCTAGGCCTGGGGCAGGCCTTGGCTGCTGTCCATCCAGGTAGCCTGGGTTATCACCTTGACCATCAGGCAGTGAGCTCCCCTGCTTACAAGCTGTGTGACCTGGGGCATGTCATTTCCTCCTCTGAGCCTCAGGGTCTTCATTTATAGGCCATTCTCAGTGCTACCTACCTCCCAGGGTTGCTGCCCAGGCCCAAGGAGATAATTACATATGTGGGAACCCTCTCTAAGTCCCTGTGTGTACCTGGACATTATCTTTGTTCTTAATACTGCTGAACAGTCATGTGAAGCTGAGCAGTGGACTGGGTGGGGGAGGGTGGTGTGCCAGGTTGCTCTGAAACCCAAATCCCCAGCTGGGAGTGGAGGAGGCAAGGGAGGGGTGGGAAGGCGTGAAGGGGCCTCCTGTCCCAACTTGCCAGCCCCAGGAGGTAGCTGCCATAGGCAGAGATGTGATCCCACCCCTTCCTGCTTGGGCTAGGGGGCTGGAGGGAAGATTTTTCTCTTCCCTTAAATGCTCAGGCAGGTCTTTTGCACTGTTTCAAGATGGTGGGGGTACGGAGAGCCCAAGAGAGGAGGAAGAAAGCGTGACAGCTGGGACTTGCCCTAGCAGCCACTTACCCAAATCTGGGCTAGGGGGTCCTCACCCAAACAACCATGGAGACAACTAAGCAGCCAGCAGAAAGTAGGCACCCACAGAAGCACCGGTTCTTCTTAGCCACCCCTGCTGTCCCAAGCAAGGCTCTTCTCCCCTCCAGCTAATCCAGCCCGAGGCTGCCCGCCGGCCCTCCCCCAGGCTGCCTAGGTGAGGCGGGAACAGGTCTGACCAGTCGACACCACCAGGATGGCTCAGCTTTCTGCCACAGCCACAATGAGCTGCATAATCCGCAATCTGGTCCTTCACCTCAGAAAGGGGGAGGATGAATGCCAGGGACGGGGAGGGGGCAGAGCTCCAGGACTCTGTCCCTCCCCACTTCCCCCTACAGTCCCTTCGCTCCAAACAGTCTTTCCATAGCAACATGGCTGAGGCTTGTCAGCTGTTTCTGAGATGGGGAAACCGAGGCTCGGAGAAATCAAGCCCTCTTCCCGACATTACACAGCCAGAACGGCAACCCCTGTCTGACTTGAGGCCTATGCTCCTTACACTACCCTGTGGGTTGATCTTTAAGGACCCAACTTCAGAATGGGGCAACCCATTTGGAGCTGAGGCCCCAGCAGGAGTTGCAGTGAAGGGCAGCTGGCACTGGTTGCCGCCCCTACAGGGAGGCAGCCTGGGAGGTGACGAAACCACAACCTTCCTTCCGGGTTCTCAGGCCTCTTGCAGCTGGAGCTGCAGCCTGCACAGAGGTAGAAGGTTGGCCAGGGTGACGGGGCAGTAAGCATGCCTGGGCTGGAGCTGTGGCTGCCAACAGGCCAGGAGCCAGGCAGCTCAGGTGCTCCCTGACTGGCAGGGCTAGGCTCACTAACCCTGTGATACCCACCTTCCTGTCCAGGTCTTTTTGCTACAGGTTTCCCTGTCTGTGCCTCAGCAAGTCATACCAGTACCCCCTGCCTAGTGACGAGCGTCATCAAAGCTCCAGGGCCTGCAGGAATCTTTCTCTTCTACCCTCAATAGAGGGATAGAAGGGAGACCTGGTCAAATGGGCTCAGGTGCCTCCTGCTCCTTTCCCTCTGCCCGCTGGTGACTCTGTGAAAGCTTCAGGGCCTGAATTTGGCAGGGCAAGAGGACTGGAAGCCCCAGGTTGCCCGCAACCTCATGCAGCCATTAGATAAGAGCCTTAGCTAGTCCCTTCTTCCCAAGTCCCTGGAGACTCCCGCCTTCAGAAAGGGTGATGGGGGCTCCCACGCTTCCATAGAGACTGGCCTGTACCACACACTCCACACCAGCCACCCAGATACACGAGGAGGTGTCACTGCAGCTGCTCAGTCAGCCCACCAGGTGGCCCATCCCAGCCTGGGTGGTGCCCGGGGTCCCCTGGGGCAACCCCCTGTGGATATGGGGTCAGGCACGGGCAAAGGAGATGGGGAAGGGTGCAGCACCTAGCGTGGCTGGTCCATCACTGGTGGGTGCTGCTTCTGGGGGGAGGGGAGAAACACTGGCAAAGTTCAAGCCAACTCGGGTTTTCTGAGTGGCTCCCAGGGGCTAAGAAGGGAACCTGTGCCCTGGTGCCAGACGGAGGGGCACAGAGCAATGGAGCTAATGGGGAGACTTCAAGGGGAACAACAGCCCCAAGTCTGTGCAGAGCTTGGGTCTCCTAAGGAGATCCAGAAGGGCTAGGAGGAACCAGGATCTGTTCAGAGCTCCTGGCAAGAGGAGCACAACACGAGGCAATGGTGGCCGAGCCTGAAACTCACTTGCAGACAATGCTGGACAGCTTTCCAGAAAAGACCCTGCCAGAAGAGCGGCCTCCAGGCCCTCCTCACGGGGCTTTCCCCTACCCTCAGATTTTCAGGCTGTCCCTTCATCCCTCCTCTCCTTCACCCTTCGCCCCATCACCTCCACCCACATAGCCCAGGGAGCGGACAGAGGACATGGAATTTAATAGGTGCCAGCAGCAGCCACCTGGAAAGCTGGGGAAAGTCGATACCCTAATCCCAGTGTGGTCTCTGGGGAGCCAGCCGCTCCCTGCTCCTCCTTGGGGGAGGGCTACCGGCAGCTGAGGGCCAACGCCCCACTGGGCCCAGCCCCTCCCTGGCTGATGCCATGGCGATGGGACAGACGGAAACAGCCAGGCAGCTTCCACTGGGTGACCTCCATCACTTCCCGGAGGCCAGCCCTCTCTAGGCCCCAGAGGGGTGGGCTGGGGGAACAGGAAGACCACCACGCACACATGGTGGCTAGGGAACAACAGAAGTGACCCCCAACCCCCATGACTGCCCCCCCCAGCCGGGCCTGAGCTCTTATTATGTAAATAAGGCTGTCACCCTGCTGCTCCACACCGGAAAAGCAGCCCAGCAACAAAGGGGCTGAGGAGAAAGTGGGGACCCTAGAGGGGAAGAAGTGAGTTTGGGGTAAGAGCCATGGCTGCTCTCAGAGGCAGCTTAGGTTGTTACTGTCTCTGGGGGACATGGGCTTGGGCCTGGTGCTGCATGGCGGGTGGCATGGGACGTTATCCTTCAAGCAGGCAGGGAAGGTGCTTAAGCACTGGGCCAATGTCCAGATCTGTAGGCCGAAAGTGTCCTTCACCCCAAGTGAGATGCGGTGGGTTTGGCTACTACTGGCCTGAGCCGCATAGCCCTGATGTCACCTCATGTTCCCTACAGGACACCCTCCCCTTGCTTCTGTACAGGCCAAGGAAAGTGGGACACCTCTGTTTACAAAGAAAGATGCTACTCCTAATCCTTGATGTTGCACTTCCTGTTTCCCAGTGGGACGGTTTTCCTGA